GGGGCGGGCACGTAGTTCACCGGCGAGCAGCTCGTCCCACGACATTGTTGACCGGGTATTCAAGAGGTAAGTCCCGCCCCCCCAAGCCATGTCCCCTGCAGTAAATTAGTAACACCAACCCCCTCCCCTTCCAGCGTAGCCGAGTTCCTCACCAACATCACCGGCGGCGCTGAGCTGGCCGCCCAAGAAGCCTGCAAGCTCAAGATCGTGCAAGAATACACGCTCGCCGTCGGCGTAGCCGCAGGCGCCACCGCCGCCCTCGGCGACCACACCTGGGGCCTCGAGCCCAACACGACCATCCCCCTCTTCTACACCACCCTCGCCGACGTCTGCGCCATCACCGCCGACGCCACCCCCACGCCCACCACCGGCGCCGTGGCCGCCCGCCAAGCCGCCGATGACCCGGCCCTCGAAACCACCACCCTCACCACCAAGCTCCTCTACACCGGCATCAGCTGCGTCTCGCCCGGGCTGGCCGCCTGCCCCCAGTCCCTGCAGACCACCAGCCTGCGCACCGAGACCAAAACCCTCGTCACGGCCGTCCCGCCCGGGGTGACGCCGACGTTCCCGGCGTCGACGGCGCTGACCGTGGCCAGCACCATCCCCTTTGGCAAGCAGGTCAACAAGCTGGCGGCGACGAGCGGCGCGCCGGTGAGCTACGTGCCGCCGCCGCCGCTGCCGTCGAGCTCGGCGAGGCCGAGTGGCAAGGGCGATAAGGGCTGGGGTGGGGATGTGTTGGATGATGTGGGCGAGGTGTTTAATGGCCAGACGGGCGGGGTGTCGAATAAGCTGATTATTGGGCTGAGTGTGGGGTTGGGGGTGCCGGTGGTTGCGGCGGTGATTGCTGCGTTGGTGTAAGTGGTCCCTTTTCTTTTTGATTTTCCTTGTCTTTTGTCTGCCCCCTCCCTCCCCCCCTCTTGCCTTACTTTGGGTGGTCGATTCCTCGCCCTGGTTTGATGAGGAGTGTATGGCTGATTGGTGTGTGCACAACAGGCATTACTTCAAGCGCAAGCGATACGCACCCGTGCCCAAGGCGGATACCTCCGTCGAGTATACAGGCGGGTATGAGAGCCCGATGGCTGCGGAGAGAGAGGCGATGGTCAAGAAGACGCCTGATCTGTCGACGACTGAGGTGCACCATTGAGATGGGTGAATGATTGTTATGATGTGGATGGGTAGGACCCATGTCTGAAGATTGTGTGGGAAAATTTTGGGTACCTATTTTGAAGTGTACCTTGGCGTTTTGGGAGGATTAACCTTCGATACCTGGCCGGAGTTGCTTCCATGGTGACCTAACGATGACCTTTTCTTCCTTGGGTGTTTGGTCTCTGTGGCCGGGTACGTTATAAATAGACTGGACTCGGTCAAGAAAACCACGCATTTTTACTTCGGGGCTGTTGATCGATTCTCCCAAGCTGACAGAAACACCGAGGGATGTGATGGGTGTTGGTTGCGCCTCCATCGCGTAAATTGTTCGGCAAAATTTGCTGGTAGTCTCCATCCTTCTCTGGAAAGATCGCCAAGGCTACGGAAGCCGATAGGGAAGAAACGAACATAACCATTTGAGGATGAGGATTAGCGCACTCGTTGCGTTAACGCCCGGTGCACTGTATCATACAATAATGGAGGCTACGCTAGTGGTATTCTAAATGCACGGAGGGGTCAGCTAATAAAAAAAAAACAAAATGCCCGAGTGCTCAAGTGGTTATGTTCGTTTCTTCCCTATCGGCTTCCGTACCAAGGCCCTGGATTTTCCGCGCCACAAAAATGCTCTAAGCTGCCGAGGCACCACTCAGGACCATCTTTCATAAACACTTGCGCACACGACCATCACATACGACCATATCCACGTGTTGGAAGACCAACAGCCACTGATCCAAGGTGTCACACACACAGGAAGATGGGAATTCACACGGCTGAACCTAGGAGGCTATGAGACTCTGCCAAAATCAAATTGTCCTTTTTCCCTCCTTCCTTCTGTAAGGGGGGTTCCAAACCCTTGATATCTCTCTCTGAGCAGCGATGGTGGCACCGCATGCAACCGCCTTCAATGAGAAGTTGTGCACAGAGAATTCACTGTACGTGACGTGCCAGGAGCTGGGGTCCATTCGGAAAGTGGTGGCGCAAAAGTACAGCCTTGAGTTATTCACCGAAGTTTTCGACTTTGTCAACGAGTACATCGACTTGGGCAAAAGCGGTCCAGACGTTCAGAAATGGTGTAAGAGTACGCTCCCCATTTAAGTATATTTCATCTGTACCTGTCTAACAAACCCAGTCTTGTTCATCGAGCTTGCAAGCCGCGCCAAGCTTACTCGAGACTACGAGAACAACCAAGCATCCCTCCGACTATCCGACCATGACCGACCCAGTCTGATCTACCGATTCAAGACGATCTGCAGCTCCAAGCAGATGAGCACATACCGTCCCGACCCCGCACACATCTATCGATTCTTCAAACCACGTTCCAGCAAGAAATCGCAGAAGGAAGGGCGTAAATTTAGGCATCCGGATGACGATGAGGACATTTACGTCCCCAGCGACTGATGAACCATGGCGAACCTGGCGACATCGATATCGATTTTGGCAGGCCATCTTCACATTTTTTCAGCATTAACCGGATCACCACCGGTAGGACATGTCAGCCGGGCGATATGAACTGGGTCAAAGATTCTTTGTGAGAGCAAACTTGACGGACATATATTTATTTATTATTTATTTATTATTCATACTCCGCTATGCCCTAGGGCGTGCCGGACCGTCAGCTATTTAGTGTACAGGAAAACCGTGCCCTCCCGGGCCGGGTGAAAAACCCATACCAACAATCAAGGAGCGATGCGTTTTAGTGAGCCCACATATACAAAGAGAGGAGGCCTCCTGGCCTCCGAACGGGGGCGCTTCAGGCCGCCGCTTCCAGCTCGAGCCTCCTGGCTAAGTTGTACATCGGCAGCTTCCCCGAGTCCATCAGCCAGTCGAGAACTCTCCTCGCGAGCCGTGCAGTCGTGGGATTGATGCCGTGTAGAACAGAGTAAAAGTCCCGTCGTGTCCGAATTCCAGTTCTCTCCCATCTTCTAGTCAACGGTGGGGCCAAACACCACACTACCAGGTGTTCGGCAGTCTCTCGTCCCTCGCCACACTCGCAGGCAGGAGTCAGAACCTCCGGGACTCCCCGTGTAAACAAGAAGTCCCGTAAGCCTATCGCTCCCGTCCGGATTTGAATCAGCAGTGAGCTCTTTGCCTTGCTGAGACCGTCGTGCATCCTTAGGGTTTCGTTCCGGAATAGCGTCTCCTGCTGATGGTCAAAGTCGTCTGCCGGCCTGGTGATTGCCCTGCCGTCCCGTTCCTTTAACCACCTGGCTTTCCAAGCCTCTTCTACTACCCTGTTCGTATCAACGGTTCCCCCCGTCCAGCGCATGACCGTGCCCGCGGCTCTCTCCACCGCCGTAGGCCCTTGAGGTCCCAAAGGTTCGCGGTCGGCCCCTGTTGCCCCTCCTCGAGCTGAGTCTCTGCTGAATCTTGCGGCAGGCGGTGAGGACAACGCTCGCCGCCGTCTTCTTGCCGCCTCGACCGTCGTCCAGATCGGGTCGTTGGAGTCGGTTTTCGAAATCGGCAAGCCGTTTGTTTAGGTACAAGTCTAATGGTGGTATCCATGTCTCTGTCTCGAGGTTACGGATGGGGGTAGACTTAAAGGCTCCCGCCACAATCCGCAAGCTCTTGTTCTGGGCCTTCTCGAGGGCCTTAGTGATGCCTTTCTTTACCGGCTTCGCCTCCCACATCCGTGGGGGATGTGAAACGATGATGCGCCATAGGCCAGCGCCGACCGGATGCACTTTTTGTACACTTCTCGCGCTTTGGCTAGCCCCATCCCCCATGTCTTTGCCACGATCCTCGACAGGGCATAGCTCTGGGTCCTCAGCTTCTTCTCCACCGCCACCAGGTGGGCCTTCCAGTTGAGTTTCCAGTCCAACCAGACTCCCAGGAACCTGGCAGACCCTTCCGGTTTAACGGGGCTGGTGCCTCCCCTTGGGTTGGCAAGGTTTACTTGTTCGGTCCACTGCCGTCGCCCTTTGTTGAAATGGATCAGTTCGCTCTTTTCCGGGGCGAACTTCATCCCCCGACTGTCCGCCCATCGTATACACGTTTCCCACGCCGCCTCAACGACGGACATATAAGAGGAGGACACAGTACAAAATGGTATGTTATGCCATTGTGTCGTGAGAGCAAACTAACATGTGGCCAGAAACAGCAAGTCGATCTAAGTGTGAAAAATGGGCCAACTCAGACACACCTATCGCCATGGCCCGGATCACATTCAGACATCCAAACACCACTTTAATCCGGGGATCATAAAATTAGTTAGAGGCTCAAAATAAATTTAATCACCTTCTCAACCTCCACCCGAACTCTCCTTGGCGTGTTTGACATGACGGATGACCTCAAGTGGATCGACGATAAGCCAGCGACACCGCTAATATTTTCACATTTAGGTAAGTTAAAATTCCATACACATTGCATTGCTACCACAATAGTCGCGAATGTTCCGAGCTAAGGTACCTTATGAATGATCACTGCTGTGACAGCAGCTGCTGGATGGATGGATGGATGGAATTTATTTCGCCCGGAGGCACTGGGCCTATAGGGCCTTAGCACGCTAACTACATCCGGATCAAATCGGTTTGCCTTTAACTCGTACAAGCCCCCTACTTCTTCCCTCTTTCTCGCTGCACCATTTACCTCTTGCCTTGGTTGTTGTTAGCAGATCAACTTGGAGGCTACTTTCTCCAAGTGTTCAGCGTCCTATCTTCAGCAGCTAAAGCGGGACCTGCTGGTTAAGGCTCGTGGTTGAGGCTCGTGGTGTTGAGTGTCGGCTTCTTCTACTGTGACTGGTCTAGACTCTCCTCCTCATTCAGCTCCAGCCTTCCTGTTGCCATTGCGTATTTGATCGTCGCCCGGACTGCCTTCATATCTGGTGACCAATGCCTTGTATCTGATGGCGCTTTCCCTCCCAGATAGAACGAGAGGCTTCCTCGTCTTGCCCACTGTGCATTGCAGCATGTCTTCCCTCAGAGCTGTCCATCTCACGCATGACAGCAGCTGCGGAACTTCATGTGCTTCGACCCCGAAAAGACGAACGAGCATTCGAAAAATAAGGGAGAGGTTCATCGGCGAGAGGCGATCGAGACCAGGAAGCTTTTGTGAAAGTCGGGCGGCACTGCCGAGAGACTGCAAGATGGCGGCGGAGGCGCAGCCCCAAATCGTGGTCGAGGTGGCCGACCAACCACCTTCGCCGAGACGACCGAGCCGCGCGTTGAAACCGAGCGCGAAAGCTCGCGAAGCCATGCAATCGCTCGAGGACGTGGCTACCACGTCGAGGAGAGCGGCGAGCGAGACCACGCGGGCGGTTACGACGCGAGGAGCACGCGCGTCTGGGATTTTATATGGAGCCCAACAGCCGGATCGAGACGGGGAAGTCAGGTATACAGATGCTCCTGGAGGCGATCAACGAACAACGAGACGAAATGTACCGAATGATTACCGAGCAGCGAAACACGATTGGCGAACTACGCGAGGTGATTTGCAAGCAGCACGACGCGATTCAAGAACTACATCGCCAACTTGCAGACACCAGGACCCAGCTTTCTGAAGAACTGAGACAAGCGCGGGATCAGATTGATACCCTTCAACGCCACCCGGTAGCCATGGCTTCGTCCCAACCAAGCGCAAGAGGGTCATACGCCGAAGTCGCTCGCACCCCACCATCAAGCCAGCCAAGCGGTGTGCGCACCCTCTCCTCGCGAAACACGACGCCTTCATCCTTTACCGACACGTTGTTCTGTACGATCGATACATCTAGGGTGGAGGAGAAAGAGAAGGGAAACGTCCAGGTGGCGGACATTAGAAAGGCAATCGAGACAGAGGCCAGGGCACAGGAAAGCATGGGAGACTGGCGTTGCGCTGCGGTTGTGAAGGAGGCCCGAAACCCGGACCGAGTCAGAGTAATTTGCAGGGACGAAGGCGAGGTCCAGCTCGTCAAGGAAGCGGCAGTGAAGATCAGTGTTCCTGGAGTGCGGGTATTGAGAGACCAGTTGTACCCGGTGAGGGTAGACAATGCCAACCGAACAGCGGTCCTCGATGCGGACGGAAACATCCTGCCGGGAGCCGCAGAGGTGCTAGGGACAGAGAACGACGTCAACATTGCGAAGATTGCCTGGCTCAGCAGGAAGGATACAAGCAAGGCCTACGGCTCGATGGTTGTCTACGTGACGAAGGGCAGCGAAGCAAGGCGACTTCTAGACGGGCGTTACTTCCATCTCGCCGGAGAATCCGCTTACACGACCGTTTTCGCGCCCCGGGAAGGCCCAATCCAGTGCTACAGATGCCAGGAGATCGGCCATAAGGCCTTCGCCTGCAAAAAGCCGCAAAGATGCGGAAGGTGTGCGGAACAGGGTCACCACCACAAGACGTGTCAGTCCGTGGTCCTGAAGTGCGTGCTATGCAGAGGACCACACGAGTCATTTAGCAAGAACTGTCGGGTACGCTGGTTGAACAATGGGGCCCAAGACGCTTAAGATCCTTCAGCTCAACGTCCGCAAACGGAGAGAAGTGCAGCAGAGTCTGCTAAACGACGAGGGACTCAAGGACTTCGCAGTGCTGGCCATCTCCGAACCATATGCCAGGCTGATCGAAGGCTCGGTGACGACGGTCCCAATGAGTCATCACAACTGGACGAAGCTGATACCAACGACAAGACGAGAAACCACGTGGCCCAATTCGGAGCATGCTATGGGTACGAAGCGATATAGAAGGTCGAGCAGATTCCAGTGCCGTCGGCAGACCTCACCGCAGCACGCATTCGGCTCCCAGACCGGGCAGTGCTGTTGGTGTCAGTGTATGTGGAGGGTGGTAGTGACGAAGCACTGGAAGATGCAATGAGGGAGATTGACCTAATGATAGGAGGATTCGAAACGACAGGACGAGACGATATCATCTTGCGGCGATTCAACCGCACGACAGCTTGGGAGGGACGATGTCTCACCACGGAGACAAGGCGAGGGAGATCGCATCATCACCTCATGGACGAACACTCCCTCTGCAGCCTCTCCCAAGAGCACGAAGACGTGGCAGTCAGGCGACATTGAGAGCACAATCGACCTGGTACTGGCCTCTGCAGATCTAGCAGACCAACTACTCAGATGCACGATTCACCCCTGCGACCATGGCTCAGACCACAGAGCAATCGAGACAGCTTTTGACACCACGGTGGAGGACCGTCCCAGTGAGACGAGGTTCCTCTTCAAGAACGCGCCCTGGGCGGAAATTAGGACTAGGGTGGCAGCAAACCTCGAACGCATCCCCTGGGACGGCAATGTCCAGCAGCAGACGGACAGGCTCATGGCAGCGGTAACCGAGGCGGTCTACGGCCTGACACCTAAAGCCAAACCCTCACCATACGCCAAGCGGTGGTGGACAACGGACCTGACACGGCTTCGCCAGACATACACGTTTTGGAGAAACCAGGCGAGATCTCGACGTAGGATTGGGCAAACAGCACCAGAGCTCGAACAACGAGCCAGGATGGCAGCCAAAGAGTACCACGACGCCATCCGCAGACAGAAGAGTTCGCATTGGAACGACTTCCTGGCCGACGTCGGAGTGCACTGTGGCTCCACTTGGTTGGGCACGTGACCACACGGGCTGGCATTTAACTCCTGTATCGCGAGAGCTCTTCCAGCTTCTCTTCCTTTTCTCCCCATCTTGTGATTAGCAGAAATAGAGTCTCATCGGAAGTGCCCTCGCGCCTCGCCCAAATGTCCTTCATCTCTCACAACTGCCATCAGACCATATGGTACGACTCTGTCAACATGGTTGTACCCTATTACAAATAAATATTCTACGGTGGAAAATGGACACGACTAGAAAACCAGCTTAAGTGTGAAAAATGAAATTTGTAGAAAAAAACGTTCTTACTAAAAGTCATATACAAATGAAAAAATAAATATCGGAACGTGTCCTACTACATCATAAGTGGTTGTTCATTTCACACGGTCATTTTGTCCTTGGGTGATGGTGTTACGGTTCTCATCAACAAGGTTGCACGAAGAGTGCAAGAGTGGGTGGCTGCGCAGGGTATGGGATATACCCTGCGCCAATGTGGGTCTGCGGAGCCCCACATGCCAATCGCCCACATGCCCCGTGCGCGGGGAACCCTAACCCTATAGTTACATGTCACAGCTCTGCCTGTGACACTGACCTCCCCCTTCAAAAAGGCCTCCTGGCCGCGAAATCCATCAAATCCTCCAAATCCTTCAAATCTGTAACAAAATTGAAGATCTCCATCTCCAATCAACTACTCAGACCCTCTCGCGCCCTCGCGCTTGCCCTGGTTGTCCTGCTTGCGCCAGCGCCAGCTCCGCGCTTCGCCGTATCCTCCGTCTCCTTCTCCTTGCCCTTCTTTGGCACCCATTGCGGTGGCCCCGGGAGCTCTGGATGGGCATCGTGGAACTCCCATATCTGGTCGTCGCAGCCTCGCAAGTCAGTCGCTGGTTGCCATGTCGGTTGATCGTGGCCGAGCCATTTGACGAAGTATTGCCATCTTCCATTGCTTGCCTTGCCGTAATCCAGAATGCGCTCGAACCTCCACTCCACGACGTCGTCGCCCTCGTCGGTGCGCGTGACCACACGACCCTCGTTGGCCCTCACGTGGCCCTCTGCCTCCTCTTGTCCCGGCAAGCCCTCCTTGCCCTCCTTCCGATGCGGCCGTACGCGTGACACGTGAAAGGTCGGGAAAATCTTCATATTCGCGGGTAGTTTGAGCGTCACCGCGTGTGACGATGCCTTCGTGACCTCGAATGGCCCTTCAAAACGGGGGGCGAGCTTCGCCATTGGTCTTCCGGTCTCGTAGTTCTGCATGTCGAGGAAAACCTTGTCGCCGACGCGGTATCGTGGCGCATCCTCTCGGTGGCGGTTGGCGTTCTCTTCGTAACGGTTCTGCGCCTGCCGCGCCAACGCCGTCACCATGTCCAGTATAGCCTTGAATCGGTCGGCGATCTCTGACGCGCGAAAAAACTCCCTGCGTTGCGACTCTGAGATGTTGGGGGGGGGTGGCTTGGTCGGCTCGACTCCCATTCGCGGGTTGAAGCCGTAGTTCGCGAAGAAAGGTGACACGCCCGTCGTCTCCGAGATCATGTTATTGCCCGCGAACTCTGCCAGCGGCAGCCAGTCTACCCAGTCATCCTGCGCCCAGTCGATGTACAGCCTCAAATACTGTTCCAATTCCGCGTTGATGCGCTCTGTTTGGCCATTCGTTTGCGGGTGGAACGCGGACGACGGCCTCAGCGTGACGGCCAGCCGTGCCGACAGCGCTCTCCAGAACGCTGACACGAACTGAGTGCCCCTGTCCGACACGATCGTCTCTGGTAGACCGTGGAGCGAGTAGACCTTCTCGATAAAGCGTTCCGCCAGCTCGTCGGCCTCCAGCGTAACCGTCGCGATAAAGTGTCGCATCTTCGTGAGCCGGTCCACCACCACCACGACATGCTTGTACTCCTTCCCGTGCCTCACGCAGGCGGGCAGTGGCGTGATATAATCTACTGAGATGTCCCGCCACGGCGCCAGCGGTAATGGCAGGGGCTTGAGGAACCCTGCCGGCTTCGTCCTCGGGGTCTTCGTGGTGTCGCAAAGCTTGCAGGCGTCGGTGAATGCCCTCGTCGCCACGGTCATTCCGGGCCACCAGTAGGCGCGGCTCATCAGATCTATCGTCTTCGTTCTTCCGGGGTGGCCGCCGGGCGCAGATGCGTGCATGCGGTGGATGAGTTGGAGATGTAGTTCGGCGTCGTCGGGGTCGACCATCAGCCTGTCGCGGTAATACACTCGGTCTCCCACCAGCCGGCACTCCGCAAATGGTATCCTCAAACGCTGCTTGACCTCTGTTGGCCATGCCCGTGCCACGCGTTGGCGCAGCGTGTCCACCACCTTCGTCATAAATGACGACTTCGAGTAGCTATCGGCGATGACATCGTCAACGTGGCGCGACGTATCGAGGGTAAGCAGCTTGAGGTCGTCAAACGTCTCGGGGTCGAAGTTCTCCAGTTTGATCAGGGGTCGTTTTCTGTTCTTCAGCCTGTCATCTTTGACATCCTTTGGCATATCCTCTGGCTTCCTGCTTAGCGCGTCGGCTCTGGCGTTGGCCGTGCCCGGTCGGTAAACGATCTGGAAATTGAATCGCGAGAGGAACTCTGACCAGCGCATGTGGCGTGGTGACAGCTGCTTGGTCGTAGTGAAGGTCTGGAGGTTCTTGTGGTCAGTGATGATTTTGAACGTCTGCGAGGCGCCCTCGAGCTCGGGGCGCCACTCCTCCAGAGCCTTTATAACCGCCAAGAGCTCCTTGTCGTAGATGTCGTAATTGCACTCGGCCGCCGAGTGCTTCGCTGAGAAATACGCCACGGGGTACAGCTCGCCATCGTCGCCTTCTTGCAACAGCGTGCCGCCCGCGGACCAGTCGGATGCGTCAACTTCCACCACTGCTGGCTTCTCCCAGTCGTAAATTCGTAACGCGGGCGCTGTGACGAAGCATCGCTTCAGCCGCTGGAACGCTTCTTCGCATTGCGGCGTCCAGTTCCAATCGACGGTTCGTTTCGTGAGCTCGTACAATGGCTTCGCCTCGCCGGCGAAATTGCGGATGAACCGTCGGTAGAAGTTGGCGAAGCCGAGGAACCGCTGTAGTTGCCTCCGCGTGGTGGGCGCATCCCATTCCGCGACTGCTTTCACCTTCTCTGGGTCCATTTCGATGCCTCCTGGCGTGATGATCAAGCCCAGGTATCTCGTCTTTTTCGTGTAGAACTCGCACTTGGAGATGTCGATCTGCAGGCCCGCGTCAATCAGCCGTTTGAGCACCTCCCGTACATGCTTGGTATGCTCTTCCAGGGTTCCCGAGTAGATCACGATGTCGTCGAGGTACGCGGTGGCGTAGTCATCCAGTATATCGTACAGGGTGTCGTTTACGTAGTTCTGGAACGTCGCTGGCGCGCCTTGCAGCCCGAAAGGGGTTACCAGCGACTCGTACAGGCCGAACCTCGTGATGAACGCCGTCAGCCACTCGCATCCTTCCTGCCACCCGCACGCGGTTGAATGCTGCGATCACGTCCAGTTTGGTGAAAAACTTCGCCTTGCAGATCGAATCCAGTGTCTCCCGGATCAGCGGAATGGGGTAACGGCTCTTCAGGGTGACGTTGTTGATACCCCGGTAGTCGACGCAAATTCTGATGCCGCCTCCTGGCTTCTGTGCCAGCAAGATCGGCGATGCCGCGGATGACTTTGACGGCCGAATGAAGCCCTTCGCCAGGTTGTCATCCAACCACCTCTTGAGGACGCGTAGCTCCATGGGTGACAGTGGCCGGTTCTTCGAATATGGGACTTTGTTCCCTGGAATTAGCTCAATTCTGTGGTCGTATGAGCGATGCGGGGGTAACACGTCTGCGTCACGCGCGAGGAACGCCTCTGCCAGGTCCTGGAACGTTGCTGGCAGTCGCTGTCTGACCTCCTCCAGCGACAGCGACTGTTGGTTCGACTTGTCGAAAAACTTGCGTGTGTCTTCTTCTGTGATCTTCTTGAGTGCTTCGTCGTCGTTCAACGCGTCGACAAAGTCGTGGAATTCCGCTGGCAGCGTTGCCTTCGCCTGCTCTGGCGTGCACGCACCGCTGAGGACATCCTTGAAGAACGCCTCTGGTAGCGCTGGCAGATGGATGTTCGGTTCCTGTTCCACTGCTCGCTCCAGCTCGGCCATCGATGTCCGCATCACCGTAACGCCCTGTTGCCCGCACAGCATCAGGAAGTTCGGCGCGCCCAACAGGCTGAGGTCCTCCCAGTCGACCTTCCCGCGCGGTGGCGGTGCGGCTGTCGGGCGCGATCGCTGCGGTTTCGCGGGTGGTCTTCTACTCCCCGCCCGCACATCGATCGGCTGCGGCGACTTTGGCGTGCGGTTGTCGATCAGTATCGCTCTGTATTCCGGAGGGGCGAACGTCCATCGTGGACCGCTCGGACCGATCGCCTCCCTGCGAGCCAGCACTCTCCTCCACTGGCGGATGCGACGTCTCTTGGCGTTGCCTTTGGCGCTCGCCAGCGCCTCGGGCGCCTTGTCATCATCGGTCGTGATGTCTTCGGGCGCGATTTCGTCGATGGTCCTGGTGTCTTCGACCACCGTGTCGTCCCCATCTTCCTCGGCGTCCTCCACTGTTGTATGGAAACGGCGCCTCCCGAAGCACTGCTCCCCGCAGTTTGCGAAGTCCAGCTGCAGGGTGCTCCAATGGATCTGCGGGTCGTGCTTTGCGAGCCATGGAAAACCCAGGATAACTGGATTATCCTGCGCCAGCGTCGTGACGAACAGACTGATGGTCTCCCGATGATCGCCCACCCACAGTTGAAGCATCGTGTCGAACTCAATCCATGTCGACAGCTCGCCGTTCGCCAGGTAGAGAGGTTTCTTCCTCCTCAGTCTGGTCATGGGCAGTCGGTTGCGTGTTGCGAAAGCGAAGTCCACGAACCCCATACCCGTACATCCTGAATCGACCAAGGCCACACATTCAATCTTGCGCTCGTCTGTTACCAAATAGGAAGAAAGTAGAATCGATTTGTCACTGCTCCCCAGCGCACTGAGGGTTAATCTATTACTACTCCATTCTTCTTCCCATACCCACAGACGGTCATCCCTCTGTAAGCGACTGTCTACAGAGGGTTGGCATTTCCCTGGTCGCCCTGGTACCAAGCCGAGTAATCGGTGTTGGTGTTGTCGGGGACCTCGCCCACCACGAAGCCCGGGGTCGAGACGTCTTGGTACTGTCTCCGGTTGGCGAGCTCTTGGTCCATGAAACGCACGCGTGCGCCGCCGCCGCGGGGGCGCTGCTGGTTCCCGCCGTAACCACCGCCGCGGTTGCCGTCGGCGCGGTTCTGGCCCTGGCCCTGATTGTATTGGCCTTGGTTCTGGTTGGCGTAGCTTTGCTGGTTGTTGGCCTGGTAGCCGCCGTTGTAGCCACCGTTGTCGTAACATTGGTAACCATCGTTGCCGCCTTGATAATTGCCGCCCTGGTAATTGCCTCGGCCCTGTTGGTTACCACCGCGGCCGCCGCCGTTGCCGCCGTTGTTGCCGCCGCCACGGCTGTTGTTGTCGCCCTTGCTGGGGCATCTGGACGAGATGTGACCGTGTTGGCCGCATCGGAAGCAGAGACCCTGCGAGATCCGGCGTCTCTTCTCCTGCTCAGTCATCCCATAGACCTTCATACCATCGACGTCCATGGCATCGGGGCCCTTGTCCTTCTTGGCGCCGCGGTCGTCGTTGCCATTGCCGCCGCTGCCGTAGCCTTGGAGCTTACGACGATATGCCTCGCCCTCCAAATTGACGGCGAGCTTCTGTGCCAGCTCCACCCAGCCAGCCCAGTCATCACGTTGCGGCTGGTTAACTTGGACGACAAGCGCGTCGCGGAGGCGTTGCGAAAGCTTATTTTTAAACTCCCGAACCTTGGTGGCCTCATCCCACTCGCAGATGTCGGTGAGGTTTGCGAACTCGGTAAGGAAATCCGAGAATACGACGTACTTGTCTTTCTGAACAAGGTCGGTGAGCTTGTTCTCTGCGTCGGCAACAATGTCATGCGTTGCATACTTCTTCGACAGGGCTGTGATGAAGTCCTGGCCTGTTTTCCACTGCCAGGTGGTGTCGTCGGTCGGGTTCCTCAGGACGTTCGTCACGCCGTTCATGACTGAGGCGTAAGCCATGCCAGACAGCATTGACTTGGCGTACAGGATTTTCTGGAGCTCTGTCTTGAACTCATTGGAGCGCATGTACCACCTCGTGGTGATCGAGTTACTCCAGGTGTTAAACTGGACTGTTCTTTTCGACGTGTTGGTCTCCTCGCCGTTGAACGTCGCGGGGTGGGGCAGGCTGATGTCCTTCCAGGTCGTGTCATCCTCGGTGTCGGCGGCGCGCAGGCGAACGCGTTCCTGCAGGCCTCTGTATTTCTCGGTCGTCTGCTGGAGCTCGTCGATAAGACCGACGTTCTCGGCCGCCAAGCGGTCGGCTCTCTCCGCCACTGCGTTCCCCTCCCTCTGCATGTTCTCGATCGTCTCCTTCTGATTGCCGATCCTCTCGTTGAGCTGGCCCATGTGCTGCTTCATCTCCTCCTCCTTCATCTCCTTAACCTTCAGCATGTCTTCCATTATCGACATGAACGCGAGGGCCGACGGCTGAGTGTCGCCGGCCACCTGCAGCGCTTTCTCCAAAACGACTGGGTACTCGCATGTCTGGAAGAAGTGGCTGAGGCGCTGGGTGTTCTGATTCTTGGCGAATGCCTCCGCGAGGCTCTGTCGAATATCCATCGGGGTATCCATCGTATCGTAATCGGTGTCCAACCGGACTGGTCTTGGCGATGCACGCCTTGTCTTGATGTCGGTAAATTACCCGATTTGTCGGTTGACCCGCACTGCGCGATGGTCGAATTGTCGGTCGGTCGGGATGTCGAAAGTCGATCAATTTGATCGCTGGAAAATCGTTCTGAATCGTTGCAATTTCTGTATCTCAATGGAAATGTCGTTTCGATGAAGACAATTCGATCGTGGTTGCGCGCGCGAGTTGAAGGTGCAACCTACTGTTACGGTTCTCATCAACAAGGTTGCACGAAGAGTGCAAGAGTGGGTGGCTGCGCAGGGTATGGGATATACCCTGCGCCAATGTGGGTCTGCGGAGCCCCACATGCCAATCGCCCACATGCCCCGTGCGCGGGGCAACCCTAACCCTATAGCTACATGTCACAGCTCTGCCTGTGACAATGGTAGTGTTAGGGTTATGAAGAACGTAAAGGTTAGGGTTATACGGAATGTAAAGGTTAGGGATATAAAGATTGTAAAGGTTAGGGATATGAAGAATGTAAAGGTTAGGGATATAAAGATCGTAATAGTAGGAGGGGAGGGGGCGGGTGGGTATAGGGTTAGGGCGTTGAGGAAGGGAGGGGGGGTGGTGAAGGAAGACGTGTCCCCTGGGGGTGAAGAGGAAGCTTGGCCCCTGGGGGTGAAGACGAAGGCTGGCCCCCAGGGGCGAAGGAAGACGTGTCCCCTGGGGGGTGAAGACCTGTCCACTGGGGAGTGAGGGCGCAAGCTTGGCCCCTAGGGGTGAAGACGAAGCTTGGGGTGAAGACGAAGCTTGGCCCCTGGGGGTGAAGACGAAGACGTGTCCCCTGGGGGTGAAAGATGAAGCTTGGGTTGAAGACGAAGCCTGGCCCCCGGGGGTGAAGGAAGACGTGTCCCCTAGGGGTGAAGACGAAGCTTGGGGTGAAGACGAAGGCTGGCCCCCAGGGGTGAAGACCAAGCTTGGCCCCCGGGGGTGAAGAGGAAGCTTGGCCCCCGGGGGTGAAGGACGACGTGTCCCCTGGGGGTGAAGACCAAGCTTGGCCCCCGGGGGTGAAGACGAAGCCTGGCCCCCGGGGGTGAAGGAAGACGTGTCCCCTGGGGGTGAAGACCAAGCTTGGCCCCTGGGGGTGAAGACGAAGGCTGGCCCCTAGGGGTGAAGGAAGACGTGTCCCCTGGGGGTGAAGACGAAGCTTGGCCCCTGGGGGTGAAGACGAAGGCTGGCCCCCAGGGGTGAAGACCAAGCTTGGCCCCGGGGGTGAAGACGAAGCCTGGCCCCGGTGGTGAAGGAAGACGTGA